TATATATATACATATACATACATACATATATATATATATATATATATATATATATATATATATATATATAGGGAGCGGATCAGGTGAGAAGTGCTCTTAGGCTGAGAACTGCGAAGTTTAAATAATAGACTAAAAACACGAACTTTTAACCAATAAATCATCTTATAGACCCCGTCGAAAATCATTACGAAAATGCAACCGCCAAAAAATAAGCCTGGAAACCTTGAAAATTTTTGGACGCATTGACATTTTTGTAATTATGATGAAGAGCTTTATAAGTTATGATTTATTGGTCATAAGTTCCTATATTCAATCTATAAGTTTACTACGTTGCAAGATCAAATGCAAATCCAAGGGCGGAGATTCCTTCTCACTTCTCATTTTAAAGAGCATTTCTCACCTGATCTTCTCTCTCTCTCTCTCTCTATATATATATATATATATATATATATATATATATATATATATTCCAATTTTTTGGAAAAGTGGAAAAATGAAAAAGGAAAATAGGAAAATGTGTCAACTGAATTTTTTTGTTGACAAACTAGTGAAAGGAAAACATAAAAATGTGTTAACCAAATCTTTCTCCAAAACTAAAAAAATGAGATGTCTCCATTTTCCTTAATGAATTGGAGATGTGAACTTTATTAGTTTTCCAATTTTGAAATGTGCGGACGTTGTAGTGCTGCTACAATGGTGGACTTGGTCCTGCTCCGATCTCAATTCCTGTCTGATCGACAACTAGGCGGTCCCGATCTAGTCGTCGACCCCGTGGTCCATGACTCGTCCTTGTTTTTTAAACCATTTTTTTCATAGTAAAGTGTTTCAAAAGAACCATCGAGGTGCTCATCAATAGGGAAAAAAGAATTAGTCAAACTAGCAGTTGGGACTGCCTGGTTTCGATCCCAACTTTCCTATATCTTGACAAAGGATGCTTTTACTTAGATTATTTTCGGTCCCAAACCAGACCAGATCAGAATATACCAGACCAAATCAGACTTGGACAGTTATAAAATATACTGAGATCAGACACTTACCATACCAGACCAATTCAGATTAGACCAGACCAGATCAGACCAGAAAATTTAAGTACACGTAAAAACATCCAAAGTATCCTATTTGGATTGTACTGATTCCAATTCTGGATCGGGACCGTACTTTCGCTCTTCTGACTAATCCCAGAACCAAGTGAAAAAATCTGGTGAAAATGTTTTCAGATTTAAAAATTGGATACTGGAAAATGAAAGTAGAAAATTGGGAAATGAAAAACTGAAAAATCAAAATAGAAAATTGAAGAACAGAAAACACAAAACAAAATTGGAAAATATACTCCCTCCGTCCCTTAAAACTTTGTATCTTTCCTTTTTGGGACGTCCCAATACAATAACTTTGCAACTTTCCCTTTCAATCAATTGTTTTGTGGTTCTTGTTATTTCTCTCTTCTCTACACAAACCTCAACCACAAACTTTTTACTTTATTATTCTCCGTACCAGTCAAACATGACAAAATTTGAAGGGACAGAGGTAGTATCTATTAGTAAACGGATCTTAATTTTTCACTATAAACATCAAACTTTGCTCCCATCAGTGTTCCACTCTCTATCTGTCAGATTGAGATTATAATCCAATTTATATCCTCACAACGTACTGTCCAATCAAGGTTGAGGTATCATCCTTTTTTTTGCTCTCATCGGTGCAAATGCGAGAGTTTTCGCTCCATCCCATCGGGGTTGAGTTTTCACCCCAACTATTTTGGGATGGAAAGTGAAAACTGGAAAATCCCTAGAATTTTAAATATACACGGCTTCTTATATTTTTGCTGGGAATGACATTGGCATGAATGAGTACTTGAATAGTTCTGCATAAGCCGGAACACCAACACTGTATAACAAATTCTTACTTACATGAATATGGTCATATGGGGAATAAGGCAGCGGGTTTTCCGGACCAAAGGACGAGAAAGCAAATGGAGGGCTCCAGGCGTGGCTAACCAATATTCAAACCATGTTATATCTACCCGGTCCCTGGAATAAGAGTTATCATTTGCCGGAAAAGAGCATGGATCATTGATCCAATAAGGTGGAATCTTCCACCCAGGAGCCCCCACCCCGACTCGACAGGATGATGAGCAGGTTAGTCACGGTGACTCAGTCAGTAGAATGACAATAGGTCCATACTCAGTCAGCAAAAAGAGCATGGATCATTGCACATCGTTTGGTGATTTTGTTTTTTAGATATCTGGCTTATCATCCAACTTTTTAATTAAACACGCAATTTCTGATTTCGCACGCTGAATTGTGTAATTATAAAAAAAGTAAGATTGAAGTTATTTTTATGCTTGTATTGGCTACTTTTTAACTAACCACATAATTTTTTATTTCGCACGTTGAATTGTGTAATACAGAGTAATAAGAAAAAGTAAGGTTGTAGTTACTTTTATGACTGTATTGGCTGAAGTTACTTTTTTTTAAATGGATTTTATTGAAAAGGATAAGGAAAACAGTACAGAGAAATGAAAAAAGAAAATAAAAGAAAGAAAATGAAACCATACAGAAAAAGTAAAAACTAAAACTACACCCAAGGAAATTCTTTGGCCTGAGACCTAGTAGTCATGTTGTGCCGCCTTTTATTTTTCTGAGATTTCCTGTATATTTTGATCTACGTGTTTAAGTTTTCCGTCGGCAGGCAATTTTCAGAGTTAACAAACTTCGATTTCCTGCAAATCGCTCTGTTGAATTTTGATTTCTTAATTTCTTTTGGCATTGAGATAGGTGGACGACGCTCACTTTCAGTGGCATGACTCAGAAAGTCGTCCGTGAAACCATAATCATCTGATTGGTAATAGGTATCTGATGCGTTCGAGTAGGTCTGGATAGGTAGGGGCCGCTCTTCTAGAGTAGGAGAATTTTGTTTCTCTGGGTATGCTTCTCGAATTTGGGATTCAAAAATAAGTTTAGATATAGATTTTGGTTCCTCTGTAAGAGTCATGGTTTCTTGTAGCCTATCCATTTTAGCTCTGGAGTTACTATGTATGACCATTTTAGCTCTTTTCTCATATAATTTTTTCTTTATTTTATTAATAAAATATATTTTAATTTTTTTTCTTTATAAATTAGAAGAATCAATGAATACAACCACTTCAACCATAATTTCATAAATTTAAATAGAATCAATCAATTTAGTCGATTTAAGTGTTACCAAACGGACTCTGAGAGTACGTTTGGCACATAACATTGAAATTAGTTGAATGAATTGATTCTGCTGAAATTTATGATGTTCTAGTTGAAGTGGATGAATATGTTGATTCTGCTGATTTATGGAGGAAAATTAATTTTTTTATAAATAAACTAAAGAAAAAATAATACGAAAAATTGTTGAAAGGATCATCTACAATAAATTTAGACGATACAGCCAGAAAAGTAACTTCAATCTTATTTTTTCTCATTATTACATAATTCAGTGCGCAGAATCAAAAGTTACGTATTTGATGAGAAAGTTGGTTGATAAGCCTGATAAGTTGAAAAAACGGAATCTCCAAAGAAGCACTCAAAGTTTCGGATTACTTTAAAAAATAATAATGCCTAGTAATGCATATATGAACCAAATAAAAGTAGAGAATAAAATATAATTGTTTATACTTTAGTGATTATTATAGTACCTTTACTAATCATTAATTACGAGGTTCAATTTTATACCATAATGATTATACATAATAATTATAGTAATTATTTTGTCCATATTTTATGTGTCCGTATTATTTAAGGAAAATTCTCTTACTTTAAACATAAATATTAAGAAAATCATGTTTCTAATATGAAGTTTTTTTTAAGTTGAAAATTTTACAATATGATTTAAGAAAAATGGATGATGGGCACTCATCTTTTAGGGTCTCTCAGCACTGACGTAACAAATAACTGGGAGCATGTGAATTAGACATTACTCGCTATTAAATTAGACTTTAGTAGTGACTAAAGCCGTGGACTAGGTAACAAGTTTCATAACAAGTTTAATAGATCCATCTATGTTTCTAGGTAACAAGTTTCACAACAAGTTCAACGGTTCTATCTCTGCTTCAACTGGGATTTCTTTTAATAATTTCAAATGTTAATGTAATGTAACTTTATTTTTGCTTTACTTCTCATGCACTCTCAACTTTCTTTTAATAAAATTGGGAGGTGTTCCCCGGCACCTCCACCACCATGTGTGGTATGCACCAGGGATAAAATTTGTGTCAGACTCAATTTCCCAATTCTAATTCTAAAAACACCAAATGCAAACCAAAACCCGATAAACTATGATTTCAGCTAATTATGAGCCTTGTGACACATTTAAGCTAGGAAAACTATCAAATACCGATATCAACACGCATCAACCACGTGTTGAAATACGGACTTATCACTACCCGTGATGAAAAGGATGATTTAATTTCCACAATTTAGTATTGAAAAGGGGAGAATTGAAGTAGTAATCGTGATCAACAATAACTTCATTGAGTGCAAATTAGCAAACCCAGGGCTGAATACATTTGATAATTTAATTCATTCATCTTAGTGTTTTATTTGCTTTCTCAATTATTAAAATAATCAAACTCCCCCTTCCGTTTGCTTTGATTTTACACACACGCGAAAAACATTTTTCCTTGTAGAAACAAACTCTACTATGCTATGCAATGGTATTAGTGTTCAGTGGTGAATTTATTTTGAGGCACGTAACAATTTTAGTGTCGTCAAGGTGCATCAAAATATCTCATCTCACATTAAGGTCCGACCCATCCTATTTAATCTTTAGCACTTTGTCACACACTTTTAGTCTAACTATTATGTCACTGACACTTTTGGTACTTGACTTTGAATTTTTTCATTCTTGATCTTCAACTATTGTTCGAAAGACACCTTTCATACTCGTCTTTGAAAATTCAAAAATGCTATGTGTACACGCCGGCTTACACGGCAGTGTACACAATATAAAAAACCCCACCCCCTCTATCTAACTCACCCTACTTTTGAATTAATTTGCCCCACTCCCCTTCTTCTCCCTTTTCCTTCCGCTCTCAAACCTCACGCCTTTCCTCCCTTCGCCCCTCTTTTTCTTCCTTTCTTTGTTCTTTTCATTTTTCTTCAACTCCCCTCCTCCAAATCCATATTTTTAGAGAAGATTTCTCCCTCTCTTTCCTTCCGCTCTCAAACCTCATGCCTTTCCTCCCTCCGCCCCTCTTCTTCTTCCTTTCTTTGTTCTTTTCATTTTTCTTCAACTCTCCTCCTTCAATTCCATAGTTTTAGAGAAATATTCATCCTGGAACACCCAACAAGCTGTCCAAGCTCTCAAGACATTGAGGTAATAATTTATTCCAGATTTTTGTGCATTTAGGGTTATATTTTTTCCCTTTTTAAACTTCATTTATACCAAATATGTTGTGGTGATGTTGATGAATGTTTATTACAATGTAATATTAGTTGTAATATCAGTATGGATTTGTTAGAATTTAAAATTTTATTGAATTGTTATAATTCACTTTTATGCCTATAAAGTGTTTGTTGAAATGTTTCAATGAGATGTAACTATGTATAATTGATTTTTAGTTTTAATTCAGCTTATGGTTTTACTGAGATGTCTGTGTAGTTTGTTGTTATACAGTTGTACGTAGCAAAGTTGTCTTTATTGTTTTCCAAAGATGTCTGTGTAGTGTGTTCTTATATGTTTGTGCATGTTTTAGTTGTCTATATAGTTTTCCTGATATGTCTGTGTAGTTTGTTGTTATACGTTTGTGGATTTTATAGTTGCCTTTATGGTTTTCCTGAGATGTCTGTGTAGTGTGTTGTTATATGTTTGTGCATTTTTTAGTTGTCTATATGATTTTCCTGATATGTCTGTGTAGTTTGTCGTTATACGTTTGTGCTTTTTTGAAGTGTCTATATGGTTTTCCTGAAATGTCTGTGTAGTGTGTTGTTATATGTTTGTGCATTTTGTAGTTATCTGTGCGTTCAAAAACGTTGTTTGTTAAGCTTCAATACTAAGTAGTATAACAAACAACGTTTTTGAACGCACAGAGACAAATTAGTATTGGTTGTGTATGTAGGTAGACAACTAATTTGTCTGCGTGGAGACATTTATTACCATAATTATGTATTCTTTTGTTATTATGAGTGGTTTTATAATGTGATTGTAATAATGGTTTTTTTTGTTTGTATTTCAATTTAATAATGTCTATCATTATTAATAATTTATTCAGTTCCTCTTTTAAGTGGTTTGATCATTATTTGAAGTTTATAAAGTAGTTTGACCATCTCACCAAAATACACTAATGTGTTAAACTTATATTGTCTGTATGTGCATAATTTTTCTCCCTATCCATAATGTGTCCCAGTCCATAATATTGTCTGTACTTCAATAATATTGTCTATATATACATATTCTTAAATAACAGACAGATGGACATAATAACGAGGAAGAAGATGTTAATATGGTTCTTCCGGAAGTGGGCATGAAGTAATTTCCGATTAGAAAAAGAACAAACACGAAGGACATAAACAAGGACGAGGTAGTGTCAATTGTAATAGAGTGTTCACGAACGGGAAGTAGAGGTAGCAAGGCACTAAATTGTTTGAAGCCTCAAACTTCAATGCAAACATCTTTCCGCTAGAAAAAGGAAAAACCAAGATGCACACCTGTAACTGTTGTACATATTTTATGATGTTTACACCTGTAACTGTTGTACATATTTTCAATGTAATGAAGTGTCGCAGACAATAGCTATCACAATACAGACAATATGTTTGTACTCCACATATTGGTGTATGTGTTTCGAATGATTTATAGGCAAAATTTTGTTGTATACAATGTGTCACCAATATGTTTGTACTCCATAGACAATATTACATAGTGCATTTGGTATAAATAATATGTCACAAACATTAGCTATCGTGATACAGACAATATGTTAAAAGTCCATAAACAACATTAGATGGTGAATTTGCTATAAATTCTATGTCACCACGATACAGACAAAAGTATAGCTTTCCATACCGAATCTTATAGAATGTTGCATTCATTGATTTCCAAATTACAAAATTATAGTTCTTCCACATACAATTTTCATATGTATGTCTACAACAACCTAGATAGACACCAGCAAAAAATACAAACTATTTTATAGCTTTGCCACATACAAACTTTGGTTGCCCTTGCATTGTCTTTTTTAGGCTCTTCACCGTCTCCTTATACGACTCCAGTGACCACGGACAAGACTTAAACTACTTCAAGTCATCCACCAATCGCAAATAATCCGGATGGATTCTTGTTGGCGGATCCGTGGCTAGCAGACAACAATGGACCAAAAACAAAGAAGCCAACTTCACACGCTCCAAAAACAAAGAGGCCAACTTCACACGCTCCAAAAACATAGAAGCAAACTTCACAGCAAACCACATTTCATCCTCAGGTTGGTCACGCACAAGGCGCAATAACAACAAATGGATCAGCTGAGCAGAGAATTGCATGTGTATAAACGTATAACAACACACTACACAGACATCTCAGGAAAACCATATAGACACTTCAAAAAAGCACAAACGTATAACAACAAACTACACAAACATATCACGAAAATCATATAGACAACTAAAAAATGCACAAACATATAACAACACACTACACAGACATCTCAGGAAAACCATAAAGACAACTATAAGATCCACAAACGTATAACAACAAACTACACAAACATCTCAGGAAAACTATATAGACAACTAAAAAATGCACAAACATATAAGAACACACTACACAGACATCATTGGAAAACCATAAAGACAATTTTGCTACGTACAACTGTATAACAACAAACTACACAGACATCTCAGTAAAACCATAAGCTGAATTAAAACTAAAAATCAATTATACATAGTTACATCTCATTGAAATATTTCCACAAACACTTTATAGGCATAAAAGTGAATTATAATAGTTGAATAGAATTTTAAATTCTAACAAATCCATACGGATATTACAACTGATATTACATTGTAATAAACATTCATCAACATCACCACAACATATTTGGTATAAATGAATTTTAAAAAGGGAAAAAATATAACCCTAAATGCACAAAAATATGGAATAAATTATTACCTCAATGTCTTGAGAGCTTGGACAGCTTGTTGGGTGTTCCAGGATGAATATTTCTCTAAAAATATGAAGTTGAAGGAGGGGAGTTGAAGAAAAATGAAAAGAACAAAGAAAGGAAGAAGAAGAGGGACGGAGGGAGGAAAGGCGTGAGGTTTGAGAGCGGAAGGAAAGAGAGGGAGAAAGCTTCTCTGAAAACATGGATTTGGAGGAGGGGAGTTGAAGAAAAATGAAAAGAAGAAAGAAAGGAAGGAGAAGAAGGGCGGAGGGAGGGAATACGTGAAGTTTGAGAGCAGAAGGAAAGGGGAGAAGAAGGGAAGTGGGGCAGATTAATTCAAAAGTGGGGTGAGTTAGAAAGAGGGGGTGGAGGTTTTTATACTGTGTACACTGTCGTGTAACCCGGCGTGTACACATAGCATTTTTGTTGAAAATTTCCATATTTAGTCATTTAATTTGACTTTCCTAAGAGTACACTTTTTGTCCTTCACCTATAATGGTAGTGACAATTTAGTCCTTTACTTGTGTCAAAATCATAGTGTGTTGAAGGAATAAAAGTGTCAATTCGATCATACTCATGGGGCTAAATGTGAGAAACTTGAAATTTGATGACTAAAGCGTCCGAACAATAGTCGAGGACCAAAAATGACAAAATTAAAAGTTCGGAACTAAAAGTGTCATTGACACAACACCCGAAAACCAAAAGCAGAAAAAACTCTTAATCTTTATTAAAAATATTATTTCATTTAAGGTAATTATCATGCCTCTCTAGTATTATATGGAATTAGGGATTAAAAATTTAAAGAATGTGAAAATATAAGAACTATGAAAAGTTAAAAAAAGGAAATTATAAAATAGACACTGACGGATGAAAACAGCATTGAAAGATAAAAAAAATATAATAGAGCTTAGAATACAAAAAAAATATTAAAAAGCATATAATAAAAATTAAGAGCATAGAATCTATAATCAATTTTAACAATAAATAAATAAATTCAAGTCTTAAATATGAAAAACTCTAAAATTTTTAAATTCTAAAGTAAAAAAAAGAAAGCTATATCCCAACATCTTAAGCCATTTATACATTACATAAAAAATATTCTCCCAAAACATTAGAAAACAATAATAAAGAAAAAATTTAATTTGTAAAGCATTTGAAAAAATAAAATAAAATTTCGTAAAAATATAAACAATAATAAGTCATTGACTCATGGACCATTATAAACCAAGAAACATAGTAGATGGGATTATTCATTATTTATAGATTACATTTAAATTCCACTCAAGCTAAAATTTTCAAATTACTTTAAACGGAAAATAGAAATTATTCCTTTCGAAATTTAAACATTTAAAGGCCATATTTAAACTAGTGATGTGTTTGTAAGGAGGGAATTGATGGAAGGGCAAGGTGGGGAGGCCTTAAAGACTTAAATTGGGTGTGTTTTGCGGAGCCATCAGCGAGTACAGGCAGAGAAAGAAGACAAGAGAGAGAGCAGCAGCTTCTGTGCTTAGCAGCTGCAAGTCTGCTGCTTTTTGGCCATGGCGGCGTTGCAGTGCTGTAATTCTTTCTATGCACACTAACTATTACTCCTTCCTTCTTTAATGCCCCACCCATCCATCCATCTACTTCCCCTAGATCAGATCGATTATCGCAACAGAGAAAGAAACAAAGAAAGACCCATACTTGAATTGCTTCCCTTTCTCTGATTAATCACTCTCCATCGCCAAAAAAGTCTTTCCCCATCGCTGCTGCTTTAATTTGTCTGTCCATTGATTTAAAGAAAGCTGCAAATTTCATCCCTTCCTTAATTGTCCTGACCCGTACTTAACACACCACACGCACACTCTACTGTGCTCTCATCTTTCCTTCTTTTAATTTGCCAGAAAAAGAAATAAAAATGGAGTCTTTTGGTTCTTGATCCGGCCATCAAGAATCGAGCGGCCGGCCGGCCTTATGGATTGTAACTCCCGATTTCACTCGGAAGACAAATGGCTGGCTTCTTTTCACTAGGCGGAGGCGGCAGTGGAGGCGGAGGTGGAGGCGGAGGAGGAAGAGCCGCCTCGACCCACAACGGCACGCAACAGCAGAACAGCAGTAATCATACCCACGGCGGTTCCGGCGCCCAAATCAGCCCGGACAACTGGTTTCTCTTCCGAAATGACCAAGAAATTCCCCCGGCTTACAAGGGTTTCGAGCTATGGCAAGATCAGCCCTCTATCCGGCACCACCACCAAATCAATCCCCTCCAAGATCTCTACTCTTCCGCCGCCGGAATCTCAAGAAACGCCGGCATCCTCAACGCGTCCACCTCCGCGGTGGCCCCGGACGAGGAGCACTCCAGATCGGCGGCGGCGTTGGTGATGATGAGTGGCGCTGCCGGCGGTGGGATCAGCTGCCAGGACTGCGGGAACCAGGCCAAGAAAGACTGCTCGCACATGAGGTGCCGGACGTGCTGCCGGAGCCGGGGATACCAGTGCCACACCCACGTGAAGAGTACTTGGGTCCCGGCGGCGAGGCGCCGCGAAAGGCAGCAACAGCAACAGCTCTCCTCGTCCTCCGCCGCCTCTCAGAGCCAAGAGACGCCGCTTCAGCTTCACGGCGGCAGAGAAACAACACCTAAACGGCAGAGGGAAGATCCCAACGCTTCCACCCTGGCCTGCTCACGTTTGCCCTCCGCCATTTCCGGTGCACACTCTTTACTTATTCTCTTCACTTATTTCGATCTTTACACTGTTCACTTAGAAACCCAAACAGTTCCTCCCATGATATTCAGTTCCTAGCTAGCTTTTCTTCTTCTCGTACATTACATACAGTGGGGTGAAAGCTGCCACTGTCTTTAAATTCTTTTTCAAGAACTGTTTTTTTAATTCAAGAACTGTTTTTAATTCAAGAACAGTTTTTATTATAGTGTTTATTATTAATTACACCATACTGGGTATTAGTTAAATTTTTTCTATTTTCTCTGGTGAATTATGTGTATGTATATGTACTGAGTAAATATTATTTATTTCTTTGTTTTGGATTTAGGGTTAGAGATGGGGAATTTTCCGGCGAAAGTGAGGTTATATGCGGCGTTCCACTGCGTTCGGATGAGGTCCGTCGACGACTCCGAGGATCAATGCGCGTACCGGACAGCTGTGAACATCGGCGGCCATGTTTTCAAGGGAATCTTGTACGACCAAGGGCCGGAAAGCCAGTACATGACGGCGGGGGAGAGCTCGTCAGGCGGCAGCGCAGGCGGTATGCAGACAACGCAACACAATTTGCTGTCATCGGGCGGCGGCGGCGGCGGCGGTGCAGCTGCCACTGCCACTTCAGCGAGTGCCAGTGGAGGAGGCGGCGATGGGCAGCCGTTGTTCGACCAATCGCCGTTGTTCTCGTCGGCTCCGCTTTGCACATTCATGGCTGGTACGCAATTCTTCCCACCTCCAAGATCTTGATGAGACTGACTCGATGACAAGTGTTGTTTGGTCGTCCTATATTCTCCTTTGTCTTCAGAAGAAAGAATAGTTCTGCCAAACACAAACATGGTTATAAATTTAGTATTTAGGATTGACAACCATGAAACAAAAAGAATGTCACGGGGGGTTTGTTCAATTTTCTATATGTTAAATTAAAGCTGAAATATATTGTTATTTTTATTTTATTTCTTTGTGAAGTATTATATCGTACAAGAGGGCTGATGTTCCTGTACCAAATTTTTTGCTGGTTTTCTTCTTTGCTTTACTTTCTTATTCTTATGATCATCAATAAGAACACAGTTTTGATCTCTATTCTATCTTTACATTATGGTGTGTTTGGTTAGAGTACAGTTTGTTTATCTCTATATATGAAGATTTATTTGGTTGAAAATGTAGCTTGATATGTTTTAATTGGAGTGCAAATTTTATGAGTTGGTTGGATGGTCTGATTTGTTTAACTTTGGTTTGTTCTAAACTGATTTTGTCTGGTTTGATAGTTTTCTGTGTCTATTTTTCAACTATCTAAGTTTGGTTGGATCTGATCTCATCATTTAAGTTTGGTCCTCATTGGAACCAGTCTAATTAAAAAAATATTTGTTTAAGTAGGAATATATTTATGGAGTATGCTGGCGTGCCCACTACGGAGCACACCGGCAATGAATGAGTGCAAGTCATTCAACTATATACTACGTATTTAAATAATCTTGATCACTCATCACGCAGACGTGCTCTATCTTTTCGGGTTCAACTTCTCTCCATTTCTTTCTCTCCATTTTTCCTCCATTTCTTTTTTACTTCCTATCTATTTCTACTTTTTTCTCTATCTTACTCACCAACCTACCCCACCTTAAATTTTCTCCTCTCTATATCTTTCCTATATCTTTCCTAATGGAACTCTCTAGTCACCGGAGAAGATCCAAATTCATCTTTTTCTCATTTAAGTAGAGTGGCTCAATAATCAATCGGAATTACTTAAATATAACCAAACATTTGAATTGAAGGAATAGTTACAATTATGAAAAAGAATATTTCAAAATATATTTTGTTAATAAAATAATATAAATATATATTAAAAAATATATGAAGTCAAAGTGTGAAGTTTATTTAGGACCGGAGGGAGTATAAATATATATTAAAAAATCAATTAATAAACTTATTTATATAGAAAGGTAGTTTTGGTTCCTATAATTTCGAATATCATATAATTAAAAGTACAAGTTTGTGTTTTATAAAAAATAATAAATGTGCCTGAATTGAGTGGGAGGTGTTTCACTATTTAACGTATTGTGTGGATGAAGTAAGATGAGAATAAACCATTTTTCAAATAAATGAATGTAGTTTAATGCCGTCTATAGTCTATACTATTTCTTCATATGATTGGAATTTACTTGCACTTTTTTCTTCCATCGTTTTTTAATTATTCCAAAGAAAGACAAGTTAATTACTCATGTCTTCCTTTAATTCCACTTCATTTCGCATACACTGATACACTCCACGACTCAATTCATGGTTTTAAATGTTGCTAAGTACGAGTCAACATCCATCTAGCACCTTTGTCTCTCTCTTTTTAAAACATGACTTTTTAACCTAATTTCAAGGTCTCAAAAACTTTTTTCTAGTAAACTTTACTCTCTTATTTGTCCCCAGTTTTATAAATTCCGTAATACACTACTCCGTAATATGGAGTAATTTTCATCACACTCGACTTCTAGATTTTCAGTTCCATAAATTAAATGTTGAAGTTCTTAAATTAGAAAACTTTGAAGTATTAATATACTCCTTCCGGTCCTAAATAAACTTCACACTTTCCATTTTGGGTAAGTCCAAAATAAAATTCACACTTCTTCTCCCTTCATTATTTGGCAAATTATCTACATCAAAACAGTGCCAAATAGTGTCAAACAATGTCACAACAGTAGACTCTACAGTAAAGTCAAATTTATTTCCTTAATTTGTGTGAAATCAAAGTATGAAGTTTATTTAGGACCAGAGAGAGTATTAACTAAAATATGATCACTAGGGAAGAGTTTACCTTAATTTATCACCAATCAATCATTATATCCGCACTCACAATCTTAAATTAAACAGAATCAACTACTTCCACTTAAATTAGTTTGTAAAAACTACTACCTCCGTCCAAAAATGAAGTTTTCCTTCACTATTCACTTGGTCAACTTAACTTAATTCACTCTTAATTTTTTACTTTATATATCAAATTTAAGTTTTTCTTGATCAGACTTTGTAGTGATTTTAATGTAATTTCTGAATATGTAAATTTTATTTACTTAAAATAATCTGAATGTGAATAGAGACCGAGTTGCGAGTCTCTTTACCGAAGGGAGGGAGTACACTCTTGGATGATCTCCTCTTTCTTTATACGGAGTATACCTTTTTAATCTACTCCGTACTTTTTAATTTTGTATGGTTTTTAGGAATTAAAGTAGAAACAGCGTGTTATAAAACCATTATAACATTATCTTATTTTATTAACTTAGTTATAGGGTTAGCAGAGAATAAGTCAATTTTATATAATTGTGCGCTACATAAAACGGTTCAACATTCTCTACACCCTTACCTGAACCATGTTTCATATCATTATGTATGATTTTTGTACTATGACAAGTGTTATAAATCCATTCTATTATACTCCCTCCGTCCCGAATTGAATTGCAAATTTTGACCGGCACAAGGATTAGAGAATGACAATAAATGATGCTTGTTTTTTACACTTTTGACCATCTTTCTAAAAGTAGATGCCTTTAAGTTAATGGGGAAAATGTAAAAATAAGGGTAAATTTATCACTTTATCCTTATTTACATACCTAAAGTAGAAAGTGGAAAACTATTTTGAGACAACCAAAATAGGAAATTTTGCAAATCAAATTGGGATGGAGGGAGTATGCCTTAGATCCGCTATTTTCCTTTGAACAGAATCACATTCAATCCTTCACTTATTATATTTAAATGAACTTTCTATAAATATTAATAAAAGAGAACTTAAGAATGATAATGTGCTATTATAAATTATTAGTGTGGTGTAAGAATTGATCGAATACTCTCTCCACTCCTAAATAACCATTCTAGTTTTAGGGATTTCACAAGGATTAATAAGTTTATAAGTGTTTATAGGAGTATTTTACAGTTTACACTTTACCTTTTAAGGGTATAACATTGAAGTATTGAAGAACGAGTAGATCAGATATTTTTAACATTCCAACAGTAAAGAAAAGTCTGATAATTATTGAGGAAAAATAGAGTATGGTTTTAGGTGACCATAATAAGTGTAAAAATTGTGCTATAGTCATTGCGTTTTTATTGGAGTTGCATTTGTCTTTTTTCTCCTTTTAAACATGTTTAGCGGATAATAAATTCATCCATTTCCTTTTTATTGTCTTTCGTGTGTATATATCATACATGGATGGAAACAATGGACATAATGATATTTTAGAAGATATGACAAGTTGATAACGAATACAAAAATAAATCAATAACAAATTGAAAAGTTATGGTGTGTCAATTCCATGGATTTAAAAAGATTTGTAACGTGATCCAGTGGATAAAAGAGAGAAGAATCTAAAAGGCATTCGTTGGTTATCATCTGTACGTGCAATGCCATTATATGAATTATTATCGAGTGTGTAATAGTAATATACTAACTTTACAAGGATGATTTATACGAATATGACCTTTCAGTTACACATTACACGAATTGAACTAATGTAGTCGAAACCAACCATTCCAGCTCACTGTGTGGAAGGTTATCGTGTCCTAGCGGAGGTCTCGGGTTCGAATCCCGCTAGGCACATTTAGGGGAGAGGGGGGAGGTCTTGCTCCCAATGATTCTTCCTACCTTCACGGAGTTGTTCAGCGGCTGAGAAGGGAGAGGATGGTAATGAAGGTAGCGGGTTCGTGTGGTGGGAGGAGCAACCTGAAAGGTGATGTAAGTCCTGCTGGATTCGTCCTTTGGAACCAGTACTGACGAGGCTGACTGTGATCAGATCCGGACTTAACTGACTAGGGGCTTTGGAGGGTAGTTCATAAACTCCAGGATGATGGGAACATAAGCCCCGACACCTGGATTATAAAAAAAAAAACTAATGTAGTTGAGTAATGATACCATATACGGGACATGAAGTTGATTAGATAGCATCTTTATTTGAGATTTTTTTTATTTGTCCACATTTATCTTTTAAGTAAGTTTTTCTTACTTTTATATCATCATTTTTATTACCCTTACTTTTTACGGAGTACTTCTTACAAACTATTGTCTTTATTTCCTACTTTTTCATTGCTTTTCTCTTCTTAATACGGAGTATATAATTACTTTCACACTTTATATTTTTCGACTAATTTTTCCTTAATTATGGTGAAAAACATAATATGATCTGATGTGTTTTGTTTCAGTCTGATATGATTTAAGATTGAACTTAAATGAGTTGAAGGGCACAAATCCTTAACTAAACAAAGTTTCATTTTTTATATTATAATCAGTAAATAATTAATATAATTTCTCGGGTTCTTGTGATAAAACAATGGACATGTTAGACCTAATATTTTTAGTTCTGGACTAAAATCGGATTCTAATGTTAGCGTACTTCAAAACGAAAACTAGATTGGAACCGATTTACCTAGATAGTCTGTATAAGATTTGGGTTCGTAGCTTCCGACCTCCGGTCAGAACTAGTCACTTTCGAACCGGACCGGGTCCACCTTTATTGGAGGGTGGGCAAAGAGACCTTTTTGCCATCCATATTTGAAGTTGATTTTATATCCTGGCAACTCTAGCAGTCCAACAGAGAAAATTTAATGCACAATGAATCGTTGAGAGTGTTGATCATCATACATATTACCATATATACCACGGTGATCTCCATTTTCCAGAGATCAAAATGTACAAATGTAGGGACTGTTTCAGAAACAAAATTCTGCAATATTCCATTACCTTAAATACCCTTACAAGATACATACTGTATTCATCTGACCAACCGCATGTTACTCCTCTGGTTTTATCTTATTCCTTTTCTCCAGCCTCCAAATACAGTCTTACACATTTGTGCATTGAAAAGAGTATATTTGCTCTAACAAGAAACTTTGGTGCACAATTTTTCATACCGTTGGAAAGAGTTGCTCGGGCATTAAATTGAACAGCTTCGATCTCTATGCTTTTCTAACTAAATTTCCATTTTAACATGGGGAATGGGGATGGGGGTAACAACTCCATTGGATTTTTTTACTTGTTCGTTTTTGTAATTTTTACCGGAAGTAGGGCCTGTACAATTATTGCTCAACTTTTTTACTGTGCACATATGGGTGCTTGCATGATGGAAATAG